AAACCCTATTCTAATTATTAAGTGGGCCAAGGCCGGGCTCCTGGAAGATGATGGTTCATCGCAGGTATCCAGCATCGATTCCATGGACCAAGACAGCGACGACGGCTCAGTTGCCAGCTCCTTGTCATCCGTTGCTGCCCTGAGGCAGGCATGCACTGGGTTGGCACTAGATTTCGCAGGTTGCAGAGCATGGGTACCGGGTAGGTAGAAGACTTTGCTGCTGTCCGAAGCGCTATAGAACCAATATGGGGTACCGCGGGAATGAGCTATTATTCACCAAACGAGGGCCACTTAAAGCTGATACTACGAGTTGGGCCACACATATTCTGAAGGACATGTCGCTTGAAGCATGAAGTTTGTGATGAGACACCGCTGCAGCGTATGCAAGTGTTCTAATATTTCATGCCGGCATATTGCCATCACGGCACCCCCACGATGTACAGTCAAAGTCTATAGAGTTAGGAGTATTAGGGCTGATACGTTGCTTGGGCTTTGCGTTTCCGAAGCTTGGCTTGGAACCTGTCAGGAGAAGCGTGAACGATCGACTCCGACATCTCGCGTGCATTCCAACCTCTGACATGCACTTAGAAACGCAGCTCGTTACCAAGCATGATCATGTTGGGGTTCTAGTATAAAATATAATATAGTGTATAAAAGTGCAGAAAACTAATTATATATTATAGTATGTCATTAGTATAATATTTTATATTATAGTATAGGGTGTCGGCTCCCGAGCCTTTTGGCTTGGTATTTCTTCAGGCCCAGGCCCTGTTTCTTGGCGAAGGCCGCTTGTTGCCCACCCCCCCCCCAAGTTACGCGGATGGCATGGCCTTTGTAGTAGCAGCTAGTAGCACGGGGTTTCACCAGCCCAGGAAGAGGAACGACCCATCCGAACCGCAGACAACGTTTACCTTGCTGGTCAAGCCGCTGTGCATGCTCGATGTGAACCAGCTCAAAGTCCAGTGACATGGTGCATCAACATCACAGACGAGCCGCTAGTTTCAATTCTCGCCCCAAGCTCGTCTATGGCAGTGCAACTAAATTCAACTACACCCGAAAGGCTGACAAAAACTTCGGTCTAGACCAACATGCAAGGCATGTTCGGTGTACTTCGGGAACTCACGCACAGCACGTTTTTCGTGCTCTGACTGGGGAGGAGGTTGGTGTTTTACGACAAGTGGATGGTCCGGTGCTTCCGGACCTCTTTGCGCTCCCACAGCATCTGCTAAGAGATGTTTTAAAAGACCCATGCCTTGCACATTGCTCGGCGGGCCTTTTCCTCGACTACATAGCTATATATTTGAACGGAGCATGTTGAGCTGAGACAGAGTTTGCGTCCAATAGCTCCATCTACCGTTCGTGACGTCGATTAGACGCGGGTGAATGTACTTTGCAAATCGATGCTTTGCTAATTCACTACATCCTGATCCGGCTGATCGCCACTTCTTCTGTTCAGTCCTGATTGTCGAGTATCTTAAAGCTTGTGAGCGTGTTCTAGCAGGTTCAGACTGAGGAAGAAACACATGGTAACATTCAGATGTTTGCTTGGTGGATTCGTAGTTGGGGTGTGCAGACACTGCCAACTCTTCCTGTAAGCATCGACGTTGAAGCCAGCTCTCTTTGCAAAGACTTGGAGATGGCAAAGTTGGCAGTCTTGGGTCAATGCTGCTCGCTCATCGTCCCAATTTGGCTTTTTGACTTATGTTCGGCCGGAATAGGTTATCTTATTCGCTGCGAGCGGAAGCTGCAAAGCTCCATCACAGGCTCGGCACCCTGAAATTCTCTCGACATACCGAGAACGCACAGCAGATCTCCGTCCTTCAGACTCACTCCGCACAAGACGCGGCGGCAGAAAAACAACTGCTGACAGGTGCATGCTTGCTTTTGCGCCTTGGTCGGGAACTTTGATCGGTTCAAAGGCTGTAGCCAAATCTCACTCCCATGCTCCGAGCGCTCGGACGGGTTGTACGGGCGCGAGCATGCTTAATCACATCTCTGTTGCTGTGCTCCGTTGTCTGCTTGCCGCCATGGCAAAGACAGGGAGGTATGTTTCTTGCGACCATGCACAGATTAACATACCCACATGCATGTCTGTCCGCGCCTTTGAATATTCCTACTAATGCAGTTAGATATCTTAGTACATATATACAGATGTGAACAAGTGTACAACTGTCTATATACTTGTTCGTGTACTTGTTTATATTTTGTAAGCACCTCCTACTGCTGCTGCATCTATATATATATATATATATATATTGCTCAAAATTATGTAACCACAACGGTGTGCCAAAGCATTCGGCAACATGCTGCGATGCATATAAGCAGTACATATCCCTATATGCATGATATTTCTGATGCATACGGTGCAGATTGCATATTCCAAACCTTATGTGTGCACTTACATGCACATACGCAGTCCTTGGAACAGCGCCTCCTTCATTTTCATAGACATCACTCGTATACTGGTCATAGACGGTTATCGATGGTGAGAGAGCTATTGGTATACAAACAACCAGTGCCTCTTTTGCCTCCAGGCCGGCCTATGGCCTCTGGAAAGCGATCGACAAGCAGGAGAAGCAACGAATCAGACGCCAAGCGAATAAAAGGCGCTTTGGAGTTCAGGGGCTGGAGGCGAGGAGGGGAGGCGGAAAGCATCTTAGCTTCACGTCGGTTCAACAGAAACAACCTACAGTGCAATTAGTGTTTGTTTGGCGGCGTCTCCTTCATTTGGTCCGGCAAGCTTGTTCAATGGAACCAATACCAGCTCAGATATTTTCGGCTTAGGCCACGATCTCTTCGTTCGCCGATGCCTTCAGATGGGGGCAGAATTCGCGGAGCCCGAGCTCAAGGACGCTCTGGAAGAGGTAGAATTTTAGGAATCATCGACATCCTTAGCTTGATGCTTGAAACGCAGACTTGGCTATCCAGCCGGTCAAGAGTCTCTTTGTCTATTGCTTTGTTTGCTGCGCTGGTAGTTCCTACTGTAGATGAAGGACGTACGGGTGCGGAAAAGCGACTTGAAGCCCGTGAGCTGAAAGTCCTGACAATGATCTCTGCTGCCAAGCTCAAGAGCCTTTACCTCGCCGCCTTTAGATTCAACAGGCTTCGAGCTTGGTGCCAGTGGTTGTCAGTTGGCCACAATCCCAAAGCAAAACATCAGATGTGCTTCATCAGTGCTGCTGGAGGAGCTTGTGTACTGGCTGGACTGGCAAGAAAAGATGCTTTGCACTACACGGGGCTGTTTGGCAAGGGCTTTGTTTCGAGAACCGTGCAGGCCATTTCCCAGACCCTCTAACAAGTGAAAGACTGTCATTGCATCAGATGAGTCCCTGGCAAGCTCGAATGTCCAAGAAGACATCCCAAGGAAGTGCATCACCTTCCAAGACATCGAGTGACTCTGCCTGGGGAGTAGAGGGGCAGCTTAGAACCCTGAACGGCTCCCAACAGCCTGTAAGCCTGAGACCCGAGAAACCCGAAGAGTCGCCACCGATGGGCAGGTGCCAGACTCGGGCTGCTTAGGAAATCTATAGCTTTAAGGCCGGTCTTTCGAGCACAAGGGTTTCATGTATAGACTTGGCTGATTGCCTTGTGGCGCAAGGCCTGAAGATCATCAGGGTCCTTAGCAGGGAGGAGGCTTGAACACTGCAGCAAAAGACGACTGAGCTCCAGGTTTTTGGACGGTTGGAGGCCTCCGGCCTACCTGGTGGCAGAGCGAAATCCGATGCCGGGACTCAAAGACTGCTTGAGTGGTAGGTAGTCAAGGACATTGCTTGTAGTCAGCCTGTAGTATCAAACATGATGACGGTCTGCATGTGGAGTTTGTTCAGCAGTCAGTTCAGCGGAGATCTGGCAGCTTACGCATGATACATGTCTATGTGGTTAGTTTGAGTAGAATTGTAGTAGTAGTAGTAGTAGTAGTAGTAGTAGCAGTAGTATTCTAATAAGCTGCTAATAGTTTTATAGTTTGGGAATACAATTAGACGCATACCGGGCCTGGCTGCGGTCACTTGCCTGGTGCCGAGTGGAACCCCGAGCCACCGGACGGCACCCCAACCGGTACAGCTCGCTCAGCCTCCATATGCTTATTAGATTCATATATGTCATACGACTTCAACAGGCTCGCGTACTCAGATTTTCGCGCGAGTTGCTACTCACGCACTCCATTGTGGGCAAGGAGCCGTCAGGCGCAAAAGGACTCGCTTTCGATGGCCGCCCGCTGCCCCAAACACCTCCAGCAACCTTCCGCGCGACGACGAAGGTCATTCGTGAAGGTAAGTAGTCGGGTCAGTCACACGGATAGAGGGTTAAAGAACGGGAAAAGTCTTGGAATATTGACTTTGAGGATCGACGCATATCCTGCATGGTACCTTAATCGTAATATCGTAATGCCATCCCGAACATTTCCTAACTTGATACAGCTCTACTATCCCCAAGCACAGCCAAATCCTTTCCTTTAGCTCAGGAAGGCTGCCCAGGAGATCAGGTCCGAGCCCAAGCTTTCTTCACGAAGTCACGTTCCTGGAGGTTGTAAGATGTTTTAGGGTGTTCCTTCAGGGTTTGTTTTGTTGTGCTTAAAGGGTTCTTCAGGGGTGATATCGATGGGGGGCTCGTAGGGCGTAGTTCTGGTCGTATGCTCGCGGTTGTGCATCCCGCAAGAACAGTTCTGGGTTTCAGGCCCTGAACCCTAGAAACCCTGGACTTGGAGGATACGCTAAATTCTGAGTTCAAGACGGCTGATAATTTCTGAGATTTCGCAAACCCTGCAGGAAGCTGACGTTCTGGGCAGTCTCAATTCCTGCATTACTAGTGGAATTGATGCTGCCTAGTTGGTTTCTGAGGAAGTGAGCGAACAACTAGAGGAGAAGTCCCGTGAGTCGTTTTTAGCGACGAACAGTCTTCGGATGTGATGTGCCTGATTCCTCAAACAGCTATTTATCTCTAATAGTCGACAAGTGCCTGTGAGCTGACGGGGGTGAACTGCAGCTACTTGGCTAGAGTTAATGATACTGTGACGTCGCTGCCATACGATGCAATGTCGCGTTGCTACTTTGCTCTTCACTGCAACCTGCAATGCAGGCTTGTCCTAGCTATGTGGGAGGCAAAAATAGACCCTAAACCTATATGGGGCATCAGCACGGACTCGTCTCAGGCTATTGCGGATCCAAATAGTCAGACTCCTTCGGTGAATGAGAGGAGCTGTGCAATTGAAATTGAAAGGCATGAGGGCAACATACTGGAACTCAGCGGAACTGCCTGGTGAAGTTGGTGCAGAAACATTATCTCATTTACGACCAGGCACAGAACAGGAAAACCTAACATGCTTCTACGTGGCCTGCTTGCTCGAGGTCGCTGCTTCTCGCGAAATATGGCCACTTTCTCAAAGCCTGGCGATCCTTGGCTTGCAAGGCCACAGGGTACACACAGGAGTCTTGTGCTCTGAGAGTTGGATGTAGCATCTTGCCACCGTCATGGGACTGCAGAACTTGACAGCTGCAAGGGTAGTTAACCGATTTGAGTTGGTCCTCGTTGCGTTGCCCACGTGTGCGGGCGGTGGACGACTCATTTTCGTCGTGAACTTATGCAGAAACCAAGGAACTGTCCTCGACAAGGCTGGCCGACACCCCACCTTTTCTGGGTAGGATGAGGCAAGCTGTTAAAGAGGCACCTCATTGGCGGCATTCCCATGCGTGGCTGGTTGTCAACAGCCCTTTGTTCGATCGCAGCCGAAGCTGCTGACTTGAGGAATGTCTATTTCTTTGCTCCTCGGCTCTTGTCAGGATAATTCCAACGTGTGCAATTGGGACGAGTTCTACCAGGCTGGCCCAGTCTTGCATGTGGAGCCAGAGATATCGCAGCAGAATTTTCGGAGCAGTCAGAAGAACCCTCCTCATGTCTAAACCAATGTAACGGATCCTTATTGCGGGTTTTTGTATGGTTTCCTGATATATAGCGAGCCCTTGAAAAGGATCCTTTTGTTTTTACGCGGGTAGCGTAAGTACTAAGTACGAGCAGCAGTAGGAACCAAAGCAACTGTATCGTGGAAATGTGGGATAGGAGTATAGTTGAGTAGTTCATGAGGGATGTATACGCTCTCGGAGGCTATCAGAAACCTGAAGTACCATGGCGACATCGCTGGGGCTTGGCTGGCGCTGGACGAGGACCGACGCTTCGCAACCAACAAATCCACATCTTGCATATTCCCCGACAAGTTGATGCGTCCCCAGAGGCACTTCCTGCACTCAGACTTCTACCTCCAACCTCCCATTTCCTGCTAAGGCGCTGGTAGGCGATAGTACATTTCCCTGTCGCCTGGTGCTGCACCAGTCAGGACCTCAGCGGTTCAATCACCTTGAGCGATGCTGGGCGTGGTTTCAGCCACAGTTTCTGTGGGCTTACAGTTTGCAAATGTGCGGGCCATGGTGGGATATTCTTCGACAGGTAACTATAGGAGGTTTAGAGCCAATGTCCGGGCTCACAAAGGAGCCGAAAGGCAGAAGCTGGGTGTTTAGAGTGGTCCTACAGGGCCATGGGCGGTACGCTATGTTGGTTCCAAGGAGCTCAGGTCAAGAAGGCGAGTCCATCCATCATGGGGTTGGTTGCAGAAGCCGTTGCTACTTTCTTCCCTCCAAGGCACGGGCTACCGTAGCATTCCCCGATCCTCATATTCTGCAATCCTCAGAGATTCTCCCATCGAAAAGGAAATCGACAGCCACTCCAGTGAGATGCTCATGAAGTTCAAGAAGTGGGCAGTAGATCAGCCACGTGGCCTTTCAGAGTTTTTCGATTCTGAAGAATCCTTTGCCACAGAAACCTCTTGAGGCAAGGACGACGAGCGGCTTCTAACAGTGTCATGACTTCCCCGGACTCCTTTCACCCATATTGAAAATCTCCAAACAGCGCTTTCAGGGTCGCCCTTGGTAGCTTGTTTTAAAATCTTCGTTCATCAGCAACACCTGCAAGACCTGCAACGGCTTCTTCATTTGTCATCTGCAGGTATGGCAGCGTCAGAACGGCGTTTCAGGCCCCTGGCCGGATCATAGAGTTGTAGAGCAACGGCACAGCAGCAAAACACGGTTTCCGTCGGGCAGTAGCATGCGGAGTGTTGATTAATGGCTGCACCTTCCTGCTCAGAGGGATATGCCAGGCGTATCGGAGATTTTTGCTCAGCCATGCCTACGATTGGAAGATTCGATTGCTTGGACTGCTTCGCTCCTCTAGGGCCATCACCGTTTCTTGTTCCATTTTTTGCCCCCCCTCGAGTCGAATGGCAGTAGGACTGCGGACTCGGGAGACGCATCTCCGACTCTTCCTTCCCCCTTCGCTGTTTCTCGAGGTGCTGGATAGAGACCGCTCCAATGAGCTCTCTCTACCTGAGTTCCGGCACGCAGCCCTTGTGTCGCTTGGCAGTCTGTGGATTTCTGTAGGGCTCTCTGATTATTTCCCCGGTGGGTTTTCCTCGGGGCTTGCTGTCAGCCTCCCTGAAATCTTGGCATGACAAGAGCATGCACGAAACTTTTCTCGCGGCGAAAACCGAAGATTGAAATACATGCTACCCTGAATGATTATGGCCCAGCCGCCAGTCTTTTTTCAGCCCATCTGTACTTGGTAGGCACCCACACATCACAGATGTTGTATGGAACCCCTGATGACCAGCTTCAAGACCATGCGCACCTAATTGGCTTGCGGAGGAATGGGCTGTCTTGCTGCGATGACGCATCTTTGATGCATCCAGGGCTGTACCATGTTTCCCCGGCAGTTCTGAGAAAACTAGGTTCAACGGCCGCTGCAGCTTGAAGCCTCGAAGCCAAAATGAAAAACGCTTTAAGCCTCAGCTCGAAGGGGTCTACAGCTTTCAGCAGGTGCGCTTGTTCAAGTGCCTGGACTGTGGAGGTCATGGAAGGCTTCTCTGGCTCTTCAGTGGGTTTGAGAGAGGTCTCGTGGCTGTTCGGAACTCTGTTGGGTTCAGGTGTGGTATGATTTTGTCATGCAACTTGACGGCTGAAGGAACATACGTGCAGGGCTTTGTGCGGAGCAGCAACCGGCACAGAGGCCTAGGTGCTTAGGTTCAGCACGGGCGTGCTCACACTGCACATTCGCAACTATAGGTTAAGCCACGGCAATCAGGATTTGCACCGAGTGAATCGCTTGGCCCTGTCCCTTCCGAGGCTTTTGCTTTCCGACGTTAACTTCCTGGACGAGACTGCGCAGCACAGGTTCAGAAAAGGTTGCAATTGAAATGCTAGCTTTAATGCAGTTGCAAGGCTTCGCCCCCATGCCAAGCGGCATAACATTCCGATAGCTTGTGGATTGTGCAGAGCTCAAGCATACCAGATGCACCAGAGACACGGTTTAGCCATGTCCTGGCGCAGGTCTCAGGTAACAGAATGAGAGAAGCTCTCATGGGTTGCGGAATTTTACATGGGAAAGGACTGGGAAGCCAACGATGCGGAGGACGATGATAAGCTTTGCCCCTCGGTCCTGCTTGGAAAAGCACCGCAGAGAGCAGAAGGGCGGAAGCTGGACCTTGGGATGGTGCTGTTCACTGTTCACCTTCTGGCAGCTGGCTGGTTTAAGGAACTTAGGGGATTGAGGCTCAAAAGGCCCTATAACATGAGAACGCGGCACGTTCTGCTTGTTCCTTTTGGTGGCCCTGCAGTGCCGCGCAGTCAGCTGGCTGGTCGAATGGCCCAACGCTCTGATGTTTGAGCTTGGAAAGTTCATTCTGGGCATTGTCATTTGTGCACTTCCAATAGGAAGCTCTTGTAGTCCCTTCAAGCCGTAAGACCACTCCGAGACTTGATTAGCGAATTCTTTCAGCTACAGGTGCGGGCATGGGCATCGACGAAGACCTGGAGACAAAGAACTCCAGCAACACCCAGAGCCGCTTTTGCTGAGTGAGGCACATGGTAATGATGTGCACTCTGTGGGCGATTCATACTTGTTGTGGTCCTGTTGATGTATTTCGAGCCCTGCAAGCCCCTGCCGCCCAACAAGGTCGGGTCTGGACGGAAGTACCCTCGGATTCGATGCCTCCGGCCTGAATTCTGATCCTCAACTTTCGGGCATCACCACGATGTTGATGTTGAGGTATGGGGCTCGCACCGACAGTGTAGTAAATCGCTTCAAGGCGGAGTCTGGAGGTTGGGTTGGAGAAGGCGTCTCATGCGTGCCTTCACGCTCCTCAGTCAGCTTATATTATATCATGTTATATTATGTTATAATATATATTATAAGTACTTGGACCCCTGTTAACTATTTTGATGTGCTTGCTCACACAACAAGGCCAGGGAGTACGCACATCTCAGGACTCACAAACAGTTCCCACCGTACGACGTAAGACGACTCTGCTCCAGAACCCTTAGATCAAATGTGCCCTCAAGCACAAAATACCTAGAGATGCTGGACCAGGTATGGCTATGCAACCATAGCACCTGGGCCAGGACTCCGTAGCGGATGGCTGTGCGCAAGGTGCACGAGTAGCTAGGGCCCGCAGAGACTCATGAAGGACGAGGCGAATGTGGCGGCATGCCTCCTGCTCTGTGTCGTAATTAAGTAGGAAGATGATTTGCGCAGGCCCCGCTGGTCCTCGGAGCATCTCGTAGCTGTGCTTTATAGACACTTTCGATATACTCGGTGCAGCTTCTGGTCTGAACCCGGCCGTGATGCCGCATCCTCCAGAGTCAAGACACCGAAGCCTCAGAGGAGCCTATGACCATCTCGCCAGCTTCGGGGCCTGCTCCCGCATGCCTACAGCCAGGTGCGCTGCCTCCTTTTTTCGGGGGTAGGCATGCGATAGGTTTGGACAGGATCTATACCAAGCACTCCTGCAACGATGCTTCAGACGCCTTTCTGCGACGTGCCAGATGCTCCAGCATGTGCCGCCGAAGAGAAGCTGGCCGTAAAGCACTGCCGGGTTGTAGCGTAAGAGCCCCATCGGTGCTTTGTCGTGCATGTCAGGCACAGTGGGGCCACAAGCTTCCGAAGGCGCCCGGAGAGCTCATGGCTGAAAACATCGCTACAGCACCTGGCTTGCAATTCAGGATGAAGGCCTCCCCAGCTCAGTGCAGACTCGCGCCTTTACGACATGGCGGGCTGCATCTCGCGTCTTCCCTCCGTCATTTCACGAAGCAACCATGCCCGCATGGCATCACCGAGCATGACAAAGAAGCTGATTTGGGCTTCAAAAACCCATGGAATGCTTTTCACAGGCTTTGTTCCAACTTGTCACTGCTCGTTACACGTTTGCTGAAGGTTTTGACGGTGTAGTTACTATTACTGCCTAAAGCCACAATTATGAATCATACGGCTCGACCATAGCATGCCAATTATATAAATAACAGATATTTCGCTTGTACCGGCTATGCGCGTAGTACTGAGAGTTCAACCCACCTCTAAAGCACACCGAGTCGACGAAGCAGCTCAGGTCAGTCGAGCCAGGCGGCTTTGCCCAGGCCTTTTGGTTTGGCATGTGGGTGTTTGTCAACGTTATGTCGACCTCACACTCTCAATCGCAATGAATTGGCTGACTGTGTGGCAAGGAACAGATGTGTACGTCGATTGAGAGATACCTGTAGCCATGTTGTCATTAACGATGTAGAGACGAGGCATGTCGTACTTTTCGTGGAGGAGCCGAACTCTCTCTTATCGAGCTTCCTAGCAAGACGATGAGGTGTTCTCACTCCCCCCGGGGTAGCAATGCATAGACCTCTGACGCATCCACTACAGCCAAGGATCCGAAGGACTCAGCGACGCAGCGGCGGCACAAGCGCCTTTCCAGCACGTCCTCTTTGGCCAGAATGGTAGCTTTTGCATTCAGTGGTAGCACACATACAGTCGGACATAGCACCGTAGCCCCAACGTAACCTCATTTCTACTCTTGATGATGGCTGCAATCGCAGCGAGGCGGCAGAAGCTGCTTGTAACTTGTGGCCGCGCATAGCGACTCGGAGGAGAAGCGCTCCAGCGACCATCAGAGTTGCAAACGGTACATGTAGAGACAGTAGTCGTGCAGCGCATCTGCGCCGAGGACCTATATAGTTCTGAATCATCAGGCTTCCGACTCTGTGTTGAGGGCAAGGGCCTGGAAGGATAAAGAACAATGATGCCCCAATGCTGTGTCGAGGCCCGCCTTTCGTTTCAGCGACCGCCCACGCCTGCCGAAGGAGGCACTGCCGATAGTTGGCCTTCAGCCGGCTGTACAACAGCGCGGGTTATTATTAACCGTATTTCACACGGTTGACCCCTCTTCTTCAATCACAGGCGAGTGTGTCCTTCTAGCTCCTGCGTTTGTTGGTTCCTTGTCTTGACTCAATGTGAGGCCGGGCAAGAAATATGATGGACATGTACCTCAACCAAGCAGACACCTGTAAGAGCATGTTTGCACTGACAGCAACACATCTTCATCATCATCATCATCATCATCAGCTTAAAAAAGTTAGATTCTGCATTCGATACACGAAATGTCCAGTGCAGCACATAGTTTTCAGACGCAAATAGCCTGACAGCATGCCCGGTCTGTTGGCGATTTAAGAAGCGGGGGGAGGAGAGGAATAGATTCGGCTGGCCCCTCGTGCGCAAGAGTGACACACACGAATCGAGAAGTCCACCAAACCCTGCTGTTGACTTCAGGTCCATGTGCTGCCATGAATCCCTGAACTCTTCAAATTGTCAAGTCAGCCTCCCTGCCAAGCAGGAAAGCTATTCACCTGGTCCGGGCACGTATTCAGCCCCGTCTGCACCAGGGCCAAAAAGAAGCAGACTTGGATAAGAACGGATTTGTGATGGAGAAGGTCTTGCACAAGATTTCGAGAGGATGTCTTCCGTTCACTGCAGAGTTATCTTGCGTGGGGAGAACCGTTCCGTAGTCTTGCAGTCTCTCTCTCTCTCTATATATATATATATGTGTATATATATATATATATTTATATAGACCATGATACTGTAGTTGCCATGAGAGTGTAAAGGCTGTAGAGGCTCTTGGCCACAGCCCTGCCATGACATGTGTCCGGTTTACTGCGCTGAGGCCTTAAGTGGGCCACGGTTCTCCATGGGCTGCAGACGAGGCTTTGTGCTTCATCCGCTCCAGAGCCCTGTTTCGCATCTAGAACTTGCAGGGGATGTGCAAGGCCAAGAGCTCCCACTTGAGCATAAATGCATGCCTGACTTGCCATGCTGCAAGACGCGTGTGGTGTTTGACTTTCTGCTGGCATGGAATTACACAGTGGGTCATTTCCACCAGCGCTCGGGCTGTGGGAATCTTAAGGACACCGCCCTTCTCGGCAAGAACGTCGCAAGTGGCCGGCAGATATTGCTTCCACTGAGCGATTTCGTAGGTCTCGACTCGGGTATACCCGGGTTCAAACGAGTTTCAAGCCCTAAATATCAAACACCCCTGAAGGTACAACATGTCCTGCCTCGCACGTTCGTCGTTGCTGTTATGTTGATCCTGAGCAAAAGTGGCTTCGTAAATCCTTTAGCTGCTGCAAGCTGGCGGGTGGTCTGAAATCCTGGACCCTCTCCAAATTCGGTCGCCTTCGGTGGCCGCGCGCCTCCATGAACGATGAACAAGTGCTCCGAGGCATATAACCTGATATGCACTACTAACACTGCGACCACTGGCCTTGCCAGCGATGCTGCCATCAGCATCAACAATAAGTCCGGAACTACTGCCGCCACGACCACCAGCACCACCACCAGCAGCCCCGCCACCACCACCAGTAGTACCACTACCACTGCTACTGCTACTGGCACTGCTACTGTTGCTGCTGCTGCTGCTCCTGCTACTGGTACTACTGCTACTACTGCCACAACCTTATATCAGCACCCAGCACCACCACGACCACTACCACCACTGCTACCACGACGACGACGACGACGACTACTAGTACTACCGCTACTGCTACCGGTCTTGCTACTGCTAGTATTGGTATTGGTACGAGTACTCGTAATATTACGGCGACGACGACTACTACTACGACGACTACCGCGACCGCGACCGCGACCGCTGCTACTACTACTACTACTACTACTACTACTACTACGACTACTACTACTGCTACGGCTACTGCTACTGCTACTGCTACTGCTACTGCTACTGCTATTGCTGCTGCTGCTGCTGCTGCTACTGCTACTGCTACTGCTACTACTACTACTACTACTACTACTACAACAAACAACTAGCTACTACCGCTACTACTACTACTACTACTACTACTACTACTGCTACTACTACTACTACTACTACTACTACTGCTACTCCTCCTTCGACGACTACGACGACGACAATTAGTAGCCCGCCACTACTACTACTACGACTACGACGATGACAATTAGTAGCCCGCCACTACTACTACTACTACTACTACTACTACTACTACATCCAGTTCATGACGTATGCTGTATAGTGTGTGTGCACGTGGCGCTTCCGCTTTCAGAAGCTTCATAATCGTAGTATGGAGCGAAGATTTGCAAGGCAGGCGCTGGCCCGGAAGGGTTTGCAGCAACCAGAGCTTTCTCGCTGTTGTTCCTTTCGCTGGGTGCTCCACATCGAGAGCGATGCGCGCAGACTGGCACGCCAAACTGACGGGAACTCCTTGAAAGTTCGCAGTAGCTAGTTTGTTTATCTCGGTGGCTGCGAATGCAGCTTCACCAGCAGATTGTGCTAATGTCTTGTAGCTTGGAAGGTGGACGGCGCAAACAGGCAGCACATGTCTGTACGACACGCTGCAGGTCGTGTGACTCAAGGCCAGGCAAACTTCTAGCAGGCTGGTGGGCCAAGAGAAAGTTTGCCAAGTTGGCATTGCCCGCATTGGTTATGCTTACCTTGTGTAGATGTCAGATGTCTATATCTGTTTGTTTCTATGTCTCATCATGTGCATGTATACAAACGAAAAGTTCTATGAAGCATCCTCAGGACTGTAAAGTCATTGCTTCTGCACAGACCTATCGGCTGGACGTCACTTGTTATCCGAGAAGCTGGAGGTCCAGGCTTCTACCTTTCGACCTACAGAAATCGTGGATCTGGATCGCGCAGCTTCGCGCCAAAGTTCTCGAAACTTCCATGATGAAAAAAGGTCGTCCAGCTTGTGCAGGTGCAACCTTGCACCTCCCCGTTTCATGTGAGAACCTCCTCGGATTGGTACTAGTTACTAGTGCACAATGCACAACTCCTAGTATGTGCAGGTAGATCGGATTGTCATTGCTCGAGGTCATATGTGTATTCATGCAATAGTTTCAGAAGTATCCAGAAGTTTTCACTTCAGTCCCCTTATGCATTGTTTCAAGAAGACTTCCATACATGCGAACATTACGGCTCGATAGTCTGGGGCTACAGGAGGTCCAACGTGACGGCTGGGCATACTCGAGACTTTGAGTATCCTACTGGGTTTTTATCAAACTGGTAGAGTCCTGGTAGAGCCAACAGACTACGTTCTGAGCGTTCAGTGCTGGCGTTTATAGAATTTGGGGGACAATGCCATCCCTAGTTTCCTTCGCATCAACAGCTGGCAACTGCTTTCGAGCATGGGCCCGTACATCTGCATGCTTCTCAACACATAACCCAAAAATATGTTCACCTTAGAGCCAAAGTGCGAAAAGAAGAGCCGACGGCATGTTCTGTTCGGTGCTGAGGTGAGCGGCCTCCATGAAGAGAGCTAACAGGACAAAGATCCCGGGCTTTAGGGTTCAGGATTCCTGGGAAGCCCTCGGACCTACTACGAGAATCCAGAGCCTAAGACTCAGAGTGCCACCACAGTATCGGTTCATCCCTTCAGGTTATTCAAGGGTGGGTAGCACGCTTCGCATCCCATGCTTTGATTCTGTGGCCTGAATCTGAACCGTTATCAGTTGACGCGGTAATGATGAACGTAATGACAGGACGAAACGCTCTGTCTCCCTGCTGCATGTGCCGGACCATGGAAACAGGCGATTTCTGCAACATAGGGGCAGGGGGGTGAACCCTTAAGAGAGAGAGATGGTGCGGTATGGTCCGAGGTAGAAATCTGAAGATCCAACCACACCCTCCGGTGCTTTTCCTGAACATCGTCTGGAGGCATGATCCCGCACTCGGGCGCTTTGGCATACCGGACATGCCTGAATCTTAGTGAGAGGGACTATGGTCCGCGGCGGAGGCGTTTCTCATCAGTTCGGAGTTCCGCACATTTCCCACGAATGGATGTTCTCCGGATTCAAATACTGTAGTAACCATTGAGTTGAGGTACATCGTCCCATGTTCTTTGTCCTGTAGGGCCTGGGTCTTGGGGGCAAAATCAGTGCAAACGCCTGAGACATCAGCCTGGAATCGTTTACGGTGAACGGACGAGTTCATTCCGCGCAAGGATGGTGGTGATCAAAGGAGTGCAGCTCTGGGCCCATTACGACATTATGAGCTGGAGGCTCAGGAGTTCCCGCTCCCTTTCTGAATGAATGTCCTGAAGTAAAGCTCCCTCGGATCCGATTTCAGTCAGAGTTCTTCGGAGTTCTTCTGAATTCGAACATACATGGAGATCTTCTGCAAAGAAAGTCAGATGCTTAACTTCGACTTCATGACTCGGTTTATCAGGACCGTCAGTTTATCAGCTGCTTCAACAGCGAATCTGACAGATTAGCTCCTAAGATAGTGTAGATCGTGCTCGTAAGATAGCGAAGATCGCGCGTACTTCGCCTTGCATCTCGGCACGAGGTCAGCAATCTCAGGCACTTCAGGCCTCATCCCCAGAGATGATGTTTGGTCCTTTTTCTGGCGATGGCAGGGTTCCAGCCAGAGGAAGGACTATTGATAGTGTGGGCGGCTGTACTGAAGGGAAATCCATGTTGAATTTCTGGCATCGGAAGAGTGTAAGGGAATCCTGGTCGTGCCTCATCCGGTTATAGGCACCGAGTCTAGATTGCAAGCGCAGCCGCAGCCCGAGCACAGGCTCAGCTTCACTCAAGTAGCCGCTGGCTCAGCTACTTGCGATTTCTGTGTCTTCGGCCTACAGGATTTGGATGTTGGCGTTGCGTGCTTTTCGTTTGGTCAGCATCTGGAACATGGAGCTCGAGCGGCATCCGACTTCAAGATTCTTTTGCCCAATGTCCAAAGGTGCCTGCACACTGAAAGCCTGAACATGGCCGGTTCTCATGTCCTCTGGCTTTCACGATGGCCTTCGATACTTTTAAGTTCTTGTGGAATGGCCTTGGCATTGAGGACATTGCTCGCAAAAGTGCGGAGAGACTCGACGCCCGAGCTCATGCAAGTAAAGCTTTAACACCATGTTGAGAATGATCTGCTAGATTCTGCTAGGTGACATGAGCAGAAAACCGCATTGCTCCGTAAGCACGTTGGCCTCCTCAGTTAGCGGTAGCAGTGACTCAGTAGTGACGTCGTTTCCGCCGTCGAGCTGCGTGCTCCCACCCTTTGCATCCGAAGCTCATTATACATGTCCGCTCCGAGACTTGGATCACATTTGGGGGCGCACGCTAGTCATTCGACCGGGCGCGGACCCCAGTTTTGAAGAGCTGCGATAAAGCTGCAACGCACATCCTTGCCGCCCAAAGCTGCGATGGTAGACAGTGTCGCAGTGTTCCGTCGCATTCCAGACTTCACAGAGACTGCTGCCGCAGACGGGGAGGCGTCCCATCCCTGTGTTGGAGTAGCGGACTTTCTGGATTCTCGGTCCGAGGCCCTTCTTCGCCACGTAGCGTGAAGGGAGTCATGGCATGGCTCCGGGCGATCTACCCTCCTCAGGTGCACTGGAACAAAGCTCTAGTCCTCTGAGGGCTCACCGGGTGGACAAGCACAATAAGTCCTTCGCAGGTCATAGCTCCACCGAGGCTATCGCATCACTTCCAGTGTCGAGATTTGAGAAAACGTATAGTTTCACTGCTCTGTCTTGGCACGGTTAGGAAGCAGTTGAGTCAGATGGTATGCCGCAAGGCCAGTCTACGTCGGAAGCCAGGGGTCTGCAGAAACTGCTGTTTCGGAGTCCTGCAGTCATGCGTGCTTCCTCATTCTGCGAGGGATTACCATCTCCAGAACATCTACAAGAAGCCCGGAACTTGATACCCGGGATCAGACGGTTGATATGCACTTCTGGCGGCCTCACGAGGATCTTGCTCAATAGTATGATTCAGAAGGTTTGAAGGCACAACCTCGCATCGCACCGCAGCTTTGCAGCAGCTTGGAGCTCAGACTGACGTGTATGGTGAGCCAACGGCTCCACGAGCGGGTGCTTCGGTGCTGTATGACCAGACTCTGGGGCGCTCAATGGCTGGAATGTTAAGTTGCGTCTCTAAGGGTCTCACAGTCGTCCTATCCTTCTCTTCTTCGGGGTTTCCTGTTTAA